TTTCCCAAACATCACCTTAGTTAGTTCTAGAACAAGGCACAGAGGCAGTATAGAAGATTTTTTATTAGAGAGAGAGAGAGACAGACAGACAGACAGACAGACAGAAAGACAGGGGGAGAGAGGGGGGAAAGGAAGAGGAGGAGGAGGAGGAGATTGGATTTTTACCCCACCGTTCACTATCCAAAGGAGTCTCAGAGCCACTTACAACCTCCTTTTCCCTTCCTCTTCTCACAACAGACAGCTCTGACAGAACTATGGCTTGCCCAAGGTCATCCAGCAGCTGCATGTGGAGGAGTGGGGGATCAAACCCGGTTCTCCCAGACTAGAGTCCGCGCACTTAACCACAACACCAAACTGGACGGACGGACGGATGGATGACAGGTTGTTTTAAGTCGCTTCTCATTCTGGTGGTCTTATCTGTGGATCTGAAAAGAATATGCCTGCATTCTCAATATTTGCTGCTTATTGGTTTATTCAGCCCAGTCGTGTCCTGCCTTCAGAAGTGATCTGAAACTGCAGTGCCGTGGGGATGACCCTGGGGATTGGGGTCCGTGACGATGACAGGCGCGGCTGGAACTCCAAGAAGCCCAGGAGCGGGCAGGGAGAATGGCTGAGGGAGTGGCCCAGGGCACCGACGGCAGGGCATGGGTAGCCAGTGCCCTGCCGTAGCTCTGTGTGGCATCCCACTAGGACTCAGGTATGATTGGGCCCACAGCCCAGATGGCGGGGGCTGGGGTAGGCAGGATGGGTCCAGTTATTGGGCGGGCACTTAAGGGAGTTAGTGAAGCAGAGTTGGGAGGTGTCTGGAGACTGAGGGAGCAGAGGGAAACATTTTGTGTAGATGACCAAGGTGTGGCTACTCCTGGCCCGTAGGTAACGTGGGGCCCATGGGACCTGCCCCCCTAGTTGTTCTTCTGGGCCCCCTCCCTCCCAGGCTGCCCCCAAAGTGCCCCAACTTGCCACCTGCATTGTGCTTCGATTTAATTAGCTGACACCAGTGTTCCCTCTAAGCTGAGTTAGTGTGAGTTAGCTCACAGCTTTTTTAGCCTCCAGCTCACACATTTTTGTCTTCGCTCAGGAAGGAGGGCTCCAGAGCAAACTGATTTATGCAGCAGCCAAATGGCTCGCTCACAACTTTAATGCCAGTAGCTCACAAAACAGGATTTTTGCTCACAAGACTCCACAGCTTAGAGGGAACATTGGCTGGCACAGCCCCACCCTGAGACCCCCTCCCCCCCAAATTCCCTAGCTACAGGGCTGAGCTACTCACTTCCCTGGGGCCAGGAGTGCCGTCAACTAACGTGAAGAACAGGACAGCCTTGCTGGGGGGGGGACCCTAAACTTGCCCCAATTAACTGGTCCAATTGTTCAGAGCTTATTTTAGCTGGATTGGGTTCACAGAACAATCGAAACTCTGCCTCGGCTGCCCGACTGTTCTGAATAGTCATTTCACAAATATGAGCACAACAGAACGAAATTTTATTGTATCTTTGAAGCCAGTGGCAAGTCCAATCATGACATATTGACACATATGAGATACTGTATCGAACGTATTCAAGGGATGAGAACATTATCTACTTCTTGGATACCCCCTGACACATATGAGATACTGTATTGAACGTATTCAAGGGATGAGAACATTATCTACTTCTTGGATACCCCCCCACACACACACACACACACTTTGTTTTGTTTATCGGTCCACACACCGAACTGCTTGGAGATACTCCTCCCCCGTTGCGTCTCCTAGGTCTGGTTTCTTCTGTAGTTGCCAGAATGTATCAACTGTCATATCCATTGCGGTTCAAATGAACTGAAAGATGTGTGATGTCCCTTTCATAGAATCATAGAGTTTGAAGGGGCCATACAGACCACCTAGTCCAACCCCCTGCCAGTGTTCCCGCTAAGCTGAGTTAGTGTGAGCTAGCTCACAGTTTTTTAGCCTCCAGCTCACATATTTTTGTCTTAGCTCAGGGAGGATGGCTCCAGAGCCAACTAATTGATGCAGGAGCCAAATTGCTTGCTCACAACTTTAATGCCAGGAGCTCACAAAGTAGAATTTTTGCTCACGAGACTCCACAGCTTAGAGGGAACATTGGCCTGCCCAATGCAGGACCAGCCTAAAGCATCTCTGACAAATATTCGTCCAGCCTCTTCTTGAAAGGTGTCAGTGAAGGGGAGCTCACCGCCTCCCTAGGAAGCTGATTCCACCTTTGTACCACTCTGACCGTGAAAAAGTGTTTCCTACTATCCAGCCGATACCTTTCTGCGCTTAATTGAAACCCATTGCTTCAGGTCCTCTCCTCTGCTGCCAACTGGAACAGCTCCTTGCCCTCCTCCAAATGACAGCCTTTCAAATATTTAAAGAGAGCAATCATGTCCCCCCTCAATCTCCTCTCCTCCAAACTAAACATCCTCAAGGCCCTTAGCCTTTCCTCGTAGGGCTCAGTCTCCAGACCCCTGATCATCCTCGTCGCTCTCTTCTCCACCCTCTCATTTTTGCCCACATCCTTTTTGAAGTGAGGCCTCCAGAACTGCACACAGTACTCAAGGTGCCATAGGATGCTGTGGACTGTTAGTCTATCCTTGCACATAGCTTTCTCCATCAGCTCTGGGGTCGGACTGGGCACTTACAGGAACCAACTGACTCCACTGAGGGCCAAAGTCAATTTGACCAGGGCAGCCATGTTTGTTATCCATCCCTCCCATTCATATATAAATGCGGTAGAGGTTCAGTCTTAACAACAAAATGGGGAGCGCAAGTGACAGGAACTCAACCCACATCCATGTTATTCCCCCAACTCATTTCAGACGTTTTTTCTCCCAGATCAGTCCCAATGTTAGAAACAAACCATGCGGAGGAGAAAAGTGCCTGAAGAGATGAGCTGTGGAGAACGGCAGTGTGGGAGTGATATTAAACAAAAGCTCAGCCTCCCTATTTCGTACGTGAATGTGCCCTGAAAAGCACTGTTTTGGAGTCACGGTGAGGCAGTCCAAAAATCGCCTCAGAAATAGATTTGTCCACAAATCCCAACCCTGAGCCTGGTTTTAGGTAAACCTGGCCGTTTCCATTTAACCGAAACATTTGACAATTTCTTGAGGGAAGCTACACAAGATTCGATCAGGCGAATGAAATTTCGGGCAGGGGCTGGAACAGTGCTTCGTCATTCGCACTGGAAGTTACCGCAAGGAAAATGTGAAAGGAATGTGGAGAACTTTTGTTCTGATACTGTGTTTGATAATATCTTTAACAGGTAGGACGAATAAGTAGTACGAGGGCATTTCGACAGCAATCCTTCATCTACCTGGGATCCATACAAGACTGTTGTATGAGTTAACTTCCCCCAAAGCATTCTTAGAAGCGCAGTGTCAAGGTTACGTGGCGTGTGTTCATTTCCCCGGCATTTCCAGCTTGAATGGTCGGATCCTGTGGTTGTTGCAACACCATTCTGATGGTGGGGGGAAAGGACAATTTCCCTGCCTATTCTAGACCACCTTGACATGGATAGCCTAGGCTAGCCCAATCTTGTCAGATCTCAGAAGCTAAGCAGGGTCGGCCCTGGTTAGTACTTGGATGGGAGACCAGCGAGGAAGTGCAGGGTCGCTATGCAGAGGCGGACAATGGCAACAGGGCCGGCTCGAGGTGTTTCTGCGCCCTAGGCAAGGCTGCCTTGTGGCGCAGATGCCAACCTCCTGGTGGGGCCTGGAGACCTGGAGACTTCTGGAGCCAACCACCCTTTTGCTGCCGCCACCACCGCCTCTTCCCCCCCACCCCCGCCGCCACCAAAGGGAGGGAGGAGGGGGGGAGGCACAGCTTGGCGACCCATCCAGGGTCCGGCGCTCTAGGCGAATGCCTAGTTCGCCTAGTGGGTGAGCCGGCCCTGAATGGCAAACTACCTCTGTTTGTCTCTTGCCTTGAAAACCCTGCGGGGTCTCCAAGGTTCCAAATGGCATTAGTTTGGGGGAGAGAGTGATGGCCTATAGTGGGAGGGTGGGAATTCCATTCTATGAATGCAACATGTTGGATTCAACCCACTTTTTTTAATCCGGGAAGGGTTTCGTCTCGTGTTTCTATGTTCTTACAAAAGCAATTAATCTTTCTAGACATAAATAAAAGGACACGAGCCCTAGGTCTAACAATGAGAAAGGGTTTCTAGGTAGAGAGGTTTCAATATTGTGCCCATTTAATATATTCCTTTGTGCTATGTTGTCCCTGAATTTCCCAGTATTAGGCAGCAAAATGGGGAAGGGGGTTTATTTGCATAGTATTAGAAGCCACTGGTATTTTTGACTACTGTGTGACACAGAGTGTTCGTTTGGATAGGCCATTGGCCTGATCCAACCTTGGCTTCTCTTATGTTCTTAAGCAGAGAGGCAGGGGAAAGATGAGAGTGGGCAAGAGGGAGAATGGGGTTCTAAAACGTTAGACCGTTGTGGTTTCTAATCCAGCTGTTGGTAGGCAGAGTCTTCTGTTCATGGGTCTGCCCCATTCAGTTCTTTCCATCCATCCTAGTTAGGGTTGCCAGACCCCCAGTCTGGGAGGGGGCTCCCTGGTTGTCAGGTCTTAGATCTGCCACCAGCCAGCTGGCCAGTACAGGAAGCCCCGTCCCTGAACAGGGACATCACCCAGAAGTGACATCATTGTGTCGCTTATGTCAGGGGGGTGACGCTCTAGTGTTCGGGCAAACTCTATGGTTTTGAAGCCAAAAAACCATAAAATTTTGCCCAAAACCTAGAGTGTGACCCCGACATTGGTGACACGATGACATCACTTCTGGGTTCAGACCTCTCTACTGGAATGTCCAAGTGTGTTACGTGTGAATACAGTTATGCCCAGAGACATATTGGTGGGCCAATGTGTGAGCAGAGTGCTAGATCCGATGGTCCTTTGGTCTGGAGTTGCCAGCTCCAGGTTGGGAAATACCTGGAGATTTTGGGGGCGGAGCCCAAGGAGGGCGGGGTTTGGGGAGGGGAGGGACTTCAAGGGAGTATAAGGCCGTAGAGTCCACCTTCCAAAGTGGCCACTTTCTCTAGGTGAACCGTTATCTGTTGTCTGGAGATTACTTGTAATCCCAGGGAATCTCAAGACACCACCTGGAGGTTGGCACCCTACTTTGGTCTGATCCAGCATGGCTCTAATTATGTTCAAATGTGCTCCACAGCCAGATGGTGCCAACTTTATTATGGAGTCTAGCCACTTGTGTAGGGTCAGTTTATACACTCAAATACATTTCTGGACCCTGGATTTCTTTCTAGAGAACAAGATAGCCCCTGGAAATGTTGGATCTGACCATCTGTTCCATTGGATCTGCCCCTTCCCCATAATTTTCCATTTCAGGAATGTGGACCTGAAATCGATCCTTTCTCCAGTGGCATTTCTTATAAGCAACTCTTCAGCATTCATTTTTTTGACTGCATTGGCTGGTCATGTGGACTTCATTGTCCTATACCAATATGTATTAGGGGAAGCCAACCTCTTTGGATAGAGAAACCTACACCCGGGCTTCCAAATCATTCATCTCCTGAGCTCTCAAACAAAAATAAACGAAATTTGGCCCTATATTTTTCTCACTGTGAAGCCACCCGTGTAACAAGGCCAGCAGGTAAAAGAGGAAAGAGAGGAAACCCTAGTGGCTTATAAAACCATGTGGAAGAACTGCTTCTCGTTTTATAAAGAGTCTATAATACTGATACAAATCTCCAGAAAATGGGATAAGGGTTTTTGTTCTTGCTTTTCTTTTTTCCTTTGCTTTGCTTTTCCTCCCCTCTCCATTCTCCTCTATTTTGGCTTCATCTCCACTCTGGAGTCGTCGACATCGAGGTCATATTCTTCCACCTGCCCGCTGGTCCAAACTTTCATACGCTCGGTGATGCCGCTGGTCCTGGGAGCCAGGAGGAAATCATAGATGAGGGTGGCACTGACGCCTCCGAGCATTGGGCCGACCCAAAAGATCTGAAAGGCAATGACAGTTGCGTTGGGCATGGGAGTGGACACAAAAATGCTCATTGATTTCGGGAGTGGATCTCGTCTAAGCAATGCTCCCTCTCAGGGCTCCTTTTGTAGAAAAAGCCCAGCAGGAACTCATTAGCATAATAGGCCACACCCAACACCAGAAACTCATTAGCATACTAGGCCACACCCCTGCCAGCACAGCTCATTAGCACATTAGGCCGTGCAACCCCATGTTACCAGAAGTGTGGTTATCCAGCCACACCCACCTTTTGCTTCTTATTCTGTTTACCTTGTTTGTGGTCAAAACCCTGGGCTTTTTTTTGTAGCAGGAACTCCTTTGCATGTTAGGCCACACACCCCTAATGTAGCCAATCCTAATGAGTTCCTGCTGTTGGGTGTGGCGTATTATGCTAATGACTTCCTGCTGGGCGTGGCCAACTTGGGAGCCAGCCGGAACTCCATTCCTGTGCGTTCCTGCCCAAAAATAGCCCTGCTCCCTCTAAGCTGTGGAGCCCCGGGAGCAAAAATTCTACTTTGTGAGCTACTGGCATTAAAGCTGTGAGCAGCTGATTTGTCTACTGCATGAATTAGTTTGCTCTGGAGCCCTCCTTCCAGAACTAAGAGGAAAATGTGTGAGACGGAGGCTAAAAAACTGTGAGCTGGCTCACACTTACTCAGCTTAGAGGGAACACTGCTTCTAAATAAAAGGTAAAGGTTTCCTTTGCTCGAAAGCCAGTCGAAGTCGACTCTAGTCGGAGGCGCTCGTCTCCGTTTCCAAGCCGAAGAGCCAGCGCTGTCCGAAGACATCTCCGTGGTCATATGGCTGAGGTGCAAGGAA